TTCATCACGGGGGCACAGAAGGGAATTGGTGAGTATTTATGCACCAAGGCACCCCCAGGGGTTACAAGAAATAATGGCCACAAGCTAGCAGAGAGCAGATTTAGATTGGACATTAGGAAGAACTTCTTCACAGTTAGAGTGGCCAAGGTCTGGAACGGACTCCCAAGGGAGGTGGTGCTCTCCCCTACCCTGGGGGTCTTCAAGAGGAGGTTAGATACCCATCTAGCTGGGGTCATCTAGCCCCAGCTCTCTTTCCTGCCTATGCAGGGCGTCAGACTCGATGATCTATTGAGGTCCCTTCCGGCCCTAACATCTATGAATCTATGAAAAAGTTTAAAAAGAAGCAACTCATTGGCATATGCAATAAATGACCCCAAAAAGCCTGTAATATAGGAACTCAAGAAAAGCAGGTCTTTTGTGGCAGGGCCCCTTAACCATCACAATCTGAGTACCTCTCAAAATGTTTTTGCAAAGGTCAAAAGGCATTACACCTGCTATTATATCTGGCATTATACCTGCTATCATGAGTAGCTTATCCAGATCCTTGATGAGATGGATTTGAAAGACAGCACCAACTCCTGGGATGTGTGTTAAGGAATTTTTCAATACATTCAGGGCATACAAACCTTCCTCTGCACCCACTAGTACTACCTATAAATACAAAAATTCAGTCAACATGGCATGAAAGGAAACAAAGAATGTTCCAAGACTTGCGCACATCAGCTAATGGAAAAAGGAATCCACCCACCACGCATGAAACTAAACACGCTCTTATTAAGAACTTTGTCATTACATACTCCATTCATGCCAGATATATGATATTCAGTTGAGCAATATGCACTGATGTCACTACCTGGTCACTGAAGGGCATTGTGCAATTTATATCCAGGCGGTCTTCCCCCTCTAGCTTCAATAGAGAGTTTCCAAGCAGTTTCTTTCAAGTGATCAGAACAAAACAACATAGATTAGACAAAGACAAATCAAACATTTAAACAACACCGTGCTAGCAAAAATTGCCCTGGCACATTCTTTAACCCTGGAGCTAGCAGAGCTACTGCATAAATGATGTCCCATAACTTTTAAACAAACATTGCTCCTACCCTTGTGCTGCTCTGGTTATAGTTCCCACTAAATAAAGTACTTCTATCAGAACCGAAGCAAAGCTGCTCAGCATTAATGGCTATGGAAAAAGCTCTTCTGCCACATGACTTTTATGCTAAAGCTGCAGGGACCCATCTGAAAAGTTATGTACAATTCAAGCAAAGTTGCCACATTATGAGGCACAGCACTTGTATAAGTCAAGAAGCAAGACTGCAATATTTGAACCCATGCAGAAAGAAGATACTTCTAGGATAGTCACACCAACCTACTGGTAATACCAAGGTTAGAAGGTTCATTAACTTACTTATCATAGCAACACTGATGCCCCTACAAGACCTGATGTGTTTATGAGGGAATATATGCACAGCTTATGAATTCAGGTAACGTTACTAAACTAAAGCATCATAAATGCTTCAGGTTATGTGGAATCCACCACATGTTGACAGCACTGTCATATGGCTCCCAAATCAGGCACAATGGAGGGTCATTAAACCACTAGAGTCTATGGCAGCTTTGTCACCCAGTCCCATTTCCATGAAGAAACAACAGTGACTGGGCTCAGGAAGTGTGCCAGAGCAGTCAAGGAAAGAAACAGTACTGCAGTCTACTTTAAATCAGGGGAAGTTTAAGAGCATGTAAGTCTGACACTGGAACCCAAATATAATAGCCTCTCTGCCCTTGAATTACAGCATGGCATGAACCACCAATCTCATTGCTAACTGTGGCTTATAGCATTCCTACTATACAATCTTTGGTAGAAATAACAAGAAATTCATTTCAACCTCTGTATGTCAGACACTGAGAGAGAAAATGTTAAAACTCTGCTGCCTTCCAGAATATTTTAGGATTAGAATGACCTCTCTGTACTTACAGCATCAGCCTCGGCTTTTTCCCTAGAAACTCTCCCTCCTGCCACTATTGACTCCAACGCTGTCACCCACCGCTGCTTATCAGGGAAACTGGGTGCTAGTAGGTAGAGGGTTCTACCAGGCCAGCATGTGGTGTGTGGATGTGACTCCAATTTTAGTACATATGGCACATCTGAGCAGTTGCAAAGAGAGAACAAGATTCAGATTAGTATTCAGAATGTCACTGAACTTCAATTAGCATCTTCAGCATTGTCAGAGAGGATGTGTCACCATACACTATGTCAATGTTTACTGCTGCAACCTATTACTATCAGAAGTAGGCTTCTTTGTTAGTACAGACTAGTTGAACATTCTAGCATGTTGAAACACAAACTACATTTTAAAGCACTTTATAACAACATTATAAGCCACTAAAATTTACTTCTATTTAAACAAATGTCTCTTGTTCACCATCAGAATAGAAGCAATGAGCTTTGTAGATGTAATGCATGGTGGCTGACCTATTCATAAGGCATATTTAATTCCAACAGAGGTAACTTGAGAGAGCTTTATTATCAGTTTAAAGGCTGGCTGCAGAATTAATTCTGTTCTACCACACTTAAGTGTAGGTTGATGCCAAGCCACTTTCATCCATCACATGAAATCCTTTTGATCTCACCTGCACTTACCTGTCTTTGCAGTGTTTGTAAGTTCAGTAGCTCCTACAGCACCATGAACAGTTACATCTCCATCAGGAAGGCACAGCTCAAACTCTTCCACAGGCCTCTGTCCAGCTTTGGAGGGAAGTAGAAAAGACTTGAATTAAAAAATGAAAACAAGACAAACAGAGAAGCAAGCAGCGAGACAATAATGGAAAGCTGGAGAACAGAACTGAGCAATATGGTCTCCACACAACTGGAGGACAATAATATTTCCAACATTGTAAGAATTTAAGATTAATAAAATATTGAGGGAAACAAAACAATTCTATCTAAACAGGCAGTTCAGTGTAAATAAATTCAGCAACAGCTAATGCTAACATAGCCTTTAGGTCTCGTAGTCCAGCAAGCAGTATCGAAAGACATAAAAGCCCGGTCTGCTAGAGAAGGGAAGTTACCTTCTCTTGCCTCTGCATCATAAATAAGCACTTTGGTTCCTTCCAGGACAATGTATTTTCTGTCCCAGCCCTGCTGCCCACGCTTATTATTCCTGAAAACAGCAAGCACAAAACCACATCAGAATTTCTACCAGGATTGTTGAGTGGTGAATAACCCTAGGAAGATAAGTTTTGTTAATAACACAAGATTGACATGGCAGAAAGAGTTCATAGTAGTTGACTCATAAGACCTGAGACAGTTTATGAAACAACACCATATGCACCAGCCCTTGCTCTAGCGCACAGACTCCTGTTTGTACCTTGGAACCTTCATCCATCCTTCCAGACGTAAACTGCTTCCCGGCTCCTTCAGCTGCAGCCCTGGAGAGTTCATTTTATCTCGGCAGAAGGCTTCAGAAAAGTGTGTGGCATACTCTGCAGGCAATCCACATGTGGCTGGCAAACAGGTTGAGCACTTTGGGTGACACATCACCTGGCATTCTGATAAAGAGAGAAAGCTTTTAAAGCATACATATACATGCGCACACGCGTGCACACTCACACCCACACACACATACAAACACACAGGCTCAGTCCACTCAATTTCTAGTCAGCCACAAAGACAACCCCTTCTGCAAGCATCCCCTCTTCACTCTAGCCATCTGATGTTTTCAAACATGGAGTATTGATGAGCTAACCTCAACATTTCCGTAAGTGAACCTTGTCAACTTTCATCTGCAGGGAGAAACAGAACTGGAAAAGTAGTCTCTGTTGGTGTGAACTGCTATCAAATGCTCCCATGGAATTAAAAAAAAACTTGAGTGATTTCTCCAGTTGACAAGCAGGGCTGGTCCTGCAGGAAATATACTTTCTTTGGTGAGGTGCTCTTGTCCTGTGCCAATTTCTAGCTGTTCATACCATAACAATATGCAAAAAATAACGAGGAGTTAATAAAGGGAGAGAATCAGTAGCCGGCCTTTCCAAATGGTCTTTTTCATTGGAACCCAGTAAATGATGCTGGAAAAGAGAAGCTAACTCGTGTTGATGAGAAAGAACCATGGAATCTATTCTGGAAGGCTTAAAACATTAACCTCCATTCTATCATCCAGTCACCCTCTATTCATGCACAGACTCTGCTCTTACCAAGGCATTTTGATGCTTGACGTCCAAAGTGCACAGTATCCAGACATACTGCACATTTTGTTGCCCTCATATTTAGCCCCACATTGAAGCGGTGAGGGATATTGTGATGCATTCGTTCTTTCAAACGCCGACTGAATTCTAGAAGAGAAGAAAATGCGAGGGGTGAAAATGGCTTTTCGGTATGGTTTCAGCACTTCAAGTGGAGTATTCTAATCTTCATGAAAGCCAAGGCAGCAAAAAAATAACAGAGTTATAAGCAAATAACTTTACATATACACCCTCTATAGAATGTTTTAATCAAGAACTGACTGGGATCAATGAAATGGCTTAGATATTCATGCAGTGTGGTTATTCCAATCAATTAATCTTAGTTTCAGGTGTGTACTTTGCATCTATTTTTATAATGTGTTAGACTAAGCTTTTTATGGCACTCCCAACAAATAAACCTTTCACCAAAGCATCTGTCATTCCACAGGCACTGGATGCCAAGCAGACTTTCTATCAACTTCACACTACTGACAGAGATCTTCCTCCACTATCAATGCTAACCATGAGCACCTTTTAGTTCCTGCCAGGACACAACTTGTACACTTCTGATTGCCAGTAAGAAAAGCTTACCCCTTGTGAAAAGTCCTTTCCCAATGAACATCTCCCCTTCCTCCCTCGGCACATCCTTTACCACTGATTGAATATCTCTCTCCTTTGCACCTACGTAAGTTGTGTCTACACAACATGGAGTGGTACCCCGTTCACCTTTAGAGACTGGACTGTAGAGGCTTATGAGCCTGCTAAAGCCTTCTGGCAGAATAAAATCGTCTCTTAGCTCAGACAGTAAAAGCTCACAGTATCAGATCCAGAATTTCTGGATTCCAACTCTACTGCCAACAATTCACCTGGAGATACTCTGGTACTATCACTACGGGTTCCTTTTCATCTACAAGTGAGCATAGCCCCCTCAACATTCAGTTCTACCATTTTTGGTAAGGAGTCTGCCCTGCATTTTCAAAAGTAGGCTTCTCAATAAGTAGTCTGCTTCTCACCTTTGCCCACACCTTTTAGGCATACTTCAAGCTTAATGCTCTTTGCACTTTATTATGAATGCTGTTGGAGAATTTCTGCTCAGCTGAATTATGTTCTAACTTAGACAAGTAAAGATACATTAAACATTGAGGAAACACATCCATAAAAGTCTTTCAATCAATGCAGAAGTGTAGTACAGAAAGTAAAGTGTACTCTAAAGAACAAAAGCAGTATTGTTAGACTAAATACTGCTTCATAGCGACACAGGGAAGTACACATATGGTATGAATCTGGATCTTACATAAAGCACTGTGATTCTGAAATGACACTATTGAACAACCAGAAGAGTGAAATGGATTTGGTCACATTTTTTATTGTCAATCTTTGCAGAGACTTAAAGGTATACTGCCCACTAGTGACAAGGAAGGGGTAAAAATAAATAAATAAATAAACTAAACAAGCAAAATAAAAGCTGTCCTTCCATCTTGGAATTTTATAATAAAAATAGCAAAAACACTTTTCAGTACATTATGCTGTGGATTTTACAACACTGTCTCCAGCTAGCTTCATTGTCTCCTATTCAATTTCTTTGAGGGAGCAAGCCATACTAACAGCAACAAGGGAATAGGAATACTTTTTGTTTGGAATCTAGGTATGCTGTTTCATGGATCCTCTAACAAAAACTAGATATATTTAGAAACAAATCAATTTAAAACAAAATCAAGAGTACACCTGCTAGTCAAATAAGTAATGCTGAACTTTGATTCAGAGATTTTAGATTGAAGAATGTAGAAAAAAGTGACAATTAAAATATTTATTAGTCAAATTCATCACCCACAGTGAGATTTAAGAAAGACCTACCCCCTCACACAGACCAAGACTCTTCATAATTGTTTCCAACTCTGCCCCCTAAAGCTCACAACACTTATCACCATGTCATTATGTCTACCAGTGGTTCTGAACCTTTTTAGGCTCAAGGTCCCCTTAGAAAGTGCCAACTCCTAGTTTTCAGTCATGTTTTTTGATTACAGGAAAATAATAGAAAAATTCTTCTGGTGCAAGAATTCAGAAAGACCACAACAGGTCAGAATGTTTTTAACACTGCAATTCCTATTTGAAATCTTTGGGTTTCTCTTGCAAATCATGTTTGGAATGTACGTCCATCTAACAATGCTAACATTGAGTGGCACCCCACAGCACCTCTGAAAGGATTTTGTAATGCCCTGGTTGAGAATCCTTGATGTATACCTGCATGAAGGAGAAAAAAAAGACTGCAAAGGTGGGTTTTTTTTGTTTTTTTTTTGGGTGGGGGGCGGGGGGGGGAAGATTCTGAATAGGGAAACACAACTATACAATATCTTAGAGGCTTACCCTCTGGTGTGGAGGACTCTTTTCTGCGACTTGAGGGTGGAGCTAGCAGGCTGATGGGAGTGGGCTGATGCTCTGGTGAGCGGACAATGGCAGACATGATGATCTGCTGCCTAGCCGTGGCTGGAGTGGATGGATGAGGGTGGTCTGTTATTTTCCGATGAGCAGCTATAGACAGACAAACACAGCTTGTTAACTTTACCAATACGAGGCTGAGTCACAGCAGCGGTTCTGCATAACCATTCAAGGGTTACAGCCTGCAGAAAATGTGTAGTCCTACTGCATCTTCAAAACAGCAGGCAAAGTTGGAATTACTATATTCCAGTGTTACGGGGACGCAAAATTTAAGCCATGTTTTCAGGCCAAAAGTGTCTCTCTCCTCCAGATTCAACTTTTCTGTTAACCCCTACCTTCTTCTCGAGCAGATCTGAGTTCAATGCGTGTTTTCTGTAGAGCTTCCTCCAGCTCAGCGGAACGAGCCTTCTCCTTCTCCAGTGCCACTTTCAGCTCATTGTACTGCAGAGGAACCTGTGTGGGTAAAGAAGGGTCCTCTTTCCGCCGACTAAACAGGCCCTAGCAACAGAAACACACAGACAACTCCTAACTCCTAGTAAGAGATGGCTTAAACTAGGTAAAGTGAAGCTAGCTAACTGAAGGCCAGAGGGCCTAAAAGTAATTCTGACACACAAAAAGATGGCCTTTTAGTTAAAATTGGAGCTGGAGAGAAAGGTTGAAGCCTTGATGTTCATTAAAAAGGGAGCATACATTACCTGTATTATAACAACACCTTGTATTTCCTGTAGCATCTAGCAGAGGGTCTCAAGAGGAATCTACACAGATCTACACCGTGATGCCCTTTACAGACTGGGGAAGGTTAAATTACCTAACTCCAAATCATAAATGGGCCTGTAGCAAAGCTGAAAGCAGAACACTGGTCTCCTGACTAATCCTATGCCTAACTACAAGATCAGTCCTTCCTGATACATAGTATATGTATATACTTACCAGTGTTTAAAAAACTTGTTTGCACATTTTCGCTATGAAAGATTCAATTTACCTAATGATGTTTCCTCAGCTGCAACAGGGGTAGAACTACTGGGTTCTAACTCAACTCATTGAAGGAACACAAAAATACTAAAAGGCCACAAGGACAACATGCTGCCCAACCAAGCTTGCATTTGGTCATTTACAACATTCCTTAAACTGGGATGTGTTTGCGTTATGCAGTAATTGAGACAGAGAAGGAGAGAGAGAATAGGATATTTGGAACATGCAATAAGTAACTAAATCATGAAGGCTTCAGACATGTAACTTCATGTTTTAGTTACTTAAATCATGCCTCTCACACCTTTCACCCACCTTCTTCTTTTTGGCTGGCTGATCCATCTTTGCTTGCAAAAAGTCAATGAGTTTGGTTTGTTGAGAAATAGTGCCTTCCATTTTCACCTTTTCATGGGAATAGAGAACCTGCAAACCATACACACACAAAAATTGTTGCAGTGATAGACATAGGAAGATATCAGTGCAATAAGAGAGTTAAGATATCATGCAGCAAGCACCAGGCAGGAAATAGCATATGTGTTTAGTTCTGATTTTATCCAATAAGGAAATGTAGTATGTGATAATGGCAGGTCTGTCTCCATAAATCTGATGTTTGAGATTTGCAACAGAACCTTTTTTTTTTATTTTCCCTTTGTTAAACCTCACCTGAATGTTTTCTAGTTGATATTCCAGGTCACTCCTTTCAGTCTTCAGAAGATCAGCTCGATCCAGAGCCTCCTGCAGACCTTGAGTGAGGCGGAAGATGTGGTTTTTTTGCAGATCCATTTGCTGCTGCAGCTTTGCCTGCTGTTAGTAGGAAAACAGAAGTCAGAGATGATTTCTAAAAATCCATTAACATTACTTTTTGCAGAATAACCATCTTCAGAGAACTTAAGAGTAACCGTTTTGTTTATAGTTTAAATATTACATTTCTCATTTATGAAATCCCAGAATCTGTCTTTCTACTCAGAATGCCATATGGTTAAATTTCATACAAAGGCATGCAAATTGAGGATCTATTTGTGTTATCTTTTTTTAAGCTCTGTGTATTGAGGTAATTTATTTAAGTTGGTTTCTGGAATCCCGTGGCTAGACTGGTAAGAGAGATCAAACACAATTCTAGGAACTAGTTTTCCATATCTTCTATATACCTACTATAAATTCCTTAACATCTCCACTAAGAAAACAGATTTCCTAGAAACCAGGACAAGCATCTGTCTCTTGGGTGGATATAAGAGATCAAATCAATTACAAGTGCTCAGATCTCCGCATTTAACTGGTGGCAGGAGGAGCCAAGTGCTAATCACCAGTGTTGGGCATCTTCTGGCACCTTAAGATCATAGGCAAGTAGGGCTGGAAGGGATCTCACAAGGTCATCTAATCCAGCCCCTTGCTCAAGGCAGGATATTTCCTGACTAAACCACCCTAGTCAAGTGTTTATCTAACTTGTTCTTGGGAATTTCTAAGGATGGAGATTCCACAACTTTTCTAGGTAACCACCATCATAGTCAGGAGTTCTTCCTAATCTCCAACCTAAATTTCCTCTGCTGCAGTTTGAGGCCATTGCTCCTAGTCCCATCTCCTACTACCAAAGAGAAAAATCTATCTATCCTCTATAGTCACCCTTCAGGTATTTAAATACTGCTATCAAATTCCTCCTCAGTCTTCTCCAGGCTAAATAGCCCTAGTTCTTTCAATCTTTCCTCATAAGTCATGCTTTCCAGGCACCTAATCATTCTGTCACTCTCCTGGACTCTATCCAATTTGTCCACATCTTTCTTAAAGTGTAGAGTTCAAAACTGGACCTCACCAGCACTGAATAGCATGGAAGAATCACTTCCCTTGGTTTGCAGGTGATGCTTCTTTTAATACAATCCAGTATGCTGTTGGCTTTTTTCAGCAGTAAGCACACTGTTGGCTCACATTTAGCTTATCATCCACTGTAACCCCCACATCCTTCTCTGTAGTTCTGCAGCCTAGCCAGTCATTCCCCAGTCTGTATTTGTCCATGCAATTATTCAGCCCCAAGCACAGGACTTTGCCCTTGTCCTTACTAAATTTCATCTGGTTGATTGTAGGCTATTTCTCCAGTTTATGCAGGTCATTCTGGATCCTAGTCCTACCCTCCAGAGTGTCTGCAACTCCACCCAACTTGGTGTTCTCCACAAATTTGCTAAATATGCCCTCCACCCTATTGTCCAAATCATTAATGAAGATGCTAAATAATTCCAGATCCAGAAGAAAACCTTGCAGTCTTCATCTTCACTTAACACCTTTCAGCCTGCTTGTAAAAATAGCTATTTTTTGATTTCACATGGCAGATCCTCCTACTGAAATTATTATAATATAAAATCCCATTACAAGTTAGTCCTTACTTCCTCCAGAAGCCTCTGTTTGAGTTCCCGCTCTGTCTCAAGCTTCTGTTGCAAACTGCGAGCGTTCATCTCCAGCATGGCATGTTTCTTCTCCAAGTCATTGAGCTAGACATTTGGAAGAGACAGACCAAAATACAGCTGCAGATGCTAATGAATACTATAAAACCCACAGATTCCAAAATAGAAATTTGCCAAACAAAAGAGCCAAGAATGAAAAAAATATAGAAAACTAGAAAACAGTTTGGGTTGTTGCTGCTCCAATGTGGATGCCAATGAGAGAGAGATTTGTTAACATTTTATATCACCTTGATGTATATCAGGAGTGACCAACCTGCAATATGCATACCACAAGAGGTACAGGCAGCTTCTTACGTGGCATGTGGCATATCAGGAATGGAACAAGTAGCGCAGTAACAGATAGGGTGGGGAGCAGATAGCAAAGCAGCAGGTTGAGCAGGGGGCAAAAGAAGGGAGCTGAAAGCAGAGCAGCAGATTTGATGAGGGAATACAGGGCAAAGAGCAGAAAGCAGGCCAGCAGACTGGGTAGAGGCAGGGGATTAGAGTGGAACTCAGGAACGGCATGGAGCTGAATTGTAACCAGCCTGCCAAAAAGGTTGGTCTCCACTGATTTATATTTGGCTTTAATTGATGAGAAATCCCAGCTTCTCTCTCTGAGAACCAAACCTGCACTTTAAAACTGCACCCTGAAAAATGAAGACGCCTCAGCCCATAGGTACCAAGTACAGGGGGCCCGAGGGCCTTGCCCTCCCTTGGGAAGAGGGTAAGATGACAACCCGTTCCTAATCCGGCAAGACAGTCCTGAAATGGGAACATCAAGCCCCAGTCCCAGGCTGCATGACCCCAGGACAGCATGTGTCCTGAATTCCCAGTACTGTGCAGGGATCCAGGTTTTCCATTCACTACAGAAAACCACGGGAAACAGGAGGTTTCCCCTTGCAAGCTGGCAGAGTTCCAGCCTACAAGAGGCTGTGGGGCGTGGGATACAGGGTGTACCACGTGCATGTGCACACATGATCTCCTCCCCCCCAGCAAAAATAAAAGTCAGTACCTATGCCTCAGCCTGTTTGAAAATTTATTCTTACATCTGAAAAAGGCTGTTCAACACAAAACTGCATTGGAGAGACTGAGTTGGAACATTGTTCTTTAGTGAATATATGAAGGTTTTAAGTAAAAAGCTACTGACCTTGTCAGAGAGACTCTCAGCTTTGAGTTTTTGTTCCTTCAGTGCTTGTTGGAGAGCTAGAATCTCCGCCTTATGTTCTTTAACAGCTAGTTCTACCACCTGGCGGGATTCAGTAATACGTTGATCTGCTCGGACTCTGTATTAAAAATAAAGAAAAGCTATTACCTAACATTCTCATTTCTGGGACGGACCTCCTCCTAGGATGTCAAGAGATCAATAGAATCCTTCAGAGATTTGCTTCAAACTTTCAAAATCCCATTTTATAAAGCCAGTCAGCTTAAATGTGATACTCCCACATTACACAAGTCTTGGTCTCTTACCCTGCTACAGCTATGGAATGGAAGGATCAATCACCAGTGCAAGGAAGTACGGGAAACAGCTAGTTTACTGTGCAATGCCCAGGTTATAAATTAAGTTTGAAAGATACTTTACAAATTACAACAAGAAATACTACTTTGTCTAAATTGGTGCCCTCACATAGGAATAACAGGAGCAAATACACAAGTATCAACTTGTATGCCATCTTTCAGATTTACTTTGTGTGAACAAATGTTTGATGAAGTTTCTAGATACACAAATTACACTATATTTCACGTAGTGTTTTTACGCACAAATTAACGAAGTCATACCTGCTCTGTTTCTCTGTATCTAACATTCTCTGTAATTCTCGAACCCGGCATTCAAATTGAGACTTTTCATCCCCTAAAACATTTCTCCATGCTTCCCACTGACGTTCCTTTTCAAGAAGTTCATCATTCAAGGCCTCCAAGTCCATCACTTGCTCTTCCAACATTGTACATGTTGTCTTCAAGGCCTCCATCGTCTAAAAAGAAATCCTCCTATAAATTTGTTTTTCCTACATCAAACATGCACCTCAAGATGCAGCTTTACTATTTCAAGTACACAACATGCAAATCAGCAGCAAGCATCAGCTGGTAAATCACAACTCATCTCAAGGTGTGTATATATTAAATCATGGTTGCTTTTAATGTAAGCGATACCTCATGATGCCTTTGGCACTTTGAAGGTCACAAAGCAAAAATGAACCAAATTTTATGTTACAGTACCTTTAGGAAACAATTCTTTAACAGTGTTATAGGGAGCCATAAAGAGATATTCCCCAGACCTTACATAGTCTTACATTGCTTTGGAAGAGCATAATCACTGAATGGTCAAGTTGCTATGTGAGCCATAGGTTAGCGCCAGTGTCACCCCCAGCTCAGAAAGAGGAATTTGTGGCTAGCTAGTCTCACATTTGGCCAACTGTCTGACAGATTTTAAACAGAATTTCTAAAGCTCTCACTTGTTTCTGACTGGTAAGCTGCATTTCCCTTTCCGTGATCTCTCGACGAAGATGGTCAACTTCACTTCGCAGCTGGACAACCTCATCACTGGCCCCAGAGGCCTCATCAAGCTGCTTGGACAGGAAGAAATTCTGATTGTTCAATTCTGCATTGTCTTCACTCAGCTGATTCAGCTGCTCTTCCAAGTCTGTAATGACCTAAAAAGAGAGAAAAAGAAATCGGGTTATATGTCAGTGAGTACAGTTCTCTGAAAAGATGTTCTCTTCTAAAGCCCCAATTGCCAAGTAAGTAGATGGCTCTTAAGAATTTCTGTCAAATTCCAAATGAGCCACATCATAATTGCAAATATTGTGAATAAGAATGCATTTAGGTTAGGCAATCGAGTCTCCCTTGTCCTTTATAGAAAAATCTCAAGGTGCTTTTCTATCTGCTTAGTTTAGTTTAAAGACTATAAATATGTCATAACCCAGTACGGTTTATGATTTATTTTAAGGGAACACTCTACTAGTTAGAGTACAGAATCAGGTTGTCTGATTTTGTTCCTAGATCTGCTACTGGCTCACTCTGTGCCTTAAGCCAGGCACATCACCTCTTCTCTACCTCAGTTTTCCCATTTATGGAATGAAGCTATTCTTTTTACAGAGGTTTTTTAAGCCTTAATATTCAAAATCATTGGATGAGAAGTGCTATAATACTGACACTTGGAGAGGATGCCCTAGAAATGTGTTAAGTTGCTGTAGGTAAAATCATAAGTAGCCATGAAGAACACAGACTTTTCAAGGAAATAGTTCTACTAAAACAACAGTTATAGAGGGCAATGAGAGGGATATGATAGAAAAAAGTCTGGCAGTGCAATGGATTATAGTAAAAAATTCAATTCTACCAACAGTGAAAATCAAAGACTCAACCAAAAGAGCAGCCTTGTCTTTACGAAGCAGGCTTGTTTATTTATTAAACTAGTGTACCATCCATCCCACTGTGCAAAGGTTGGCTTATAAAACAATCCACAGCATTTTGAAAAGCATTAATAAAATGTGTTTTTTTCATACCACCTTCTGGTTTGTAAGAGTGGAAATCAGTATGAAAAAATTTAAGGGGAGATCAACACACAAAATCCTGCAAGATCACTACAATCACAAAAAGGGAGGGAGGGAGAGGAAGAGAGAGAGAGATTTTAACACTACTCCGAAAACAGGTTAACAAGAACCATAGGCAAAGAGTCTAGTATAATTTATGTTCAAAAGTCCCAAATATGTTCAAGAGGTGTTTTAGCATATTTTCAAAAACTCAGGGTATATTAAGTGACCAATATACGTAATGGAAAAAATAGATCCTAAAATACAGCTAGCTATATATTTAAATATAAATATTTCCATTTCCCATGTAAGAACTGAGAACCTCCTCACCTAAAGCAGTATGGCACCTTTCAGCTATCTGGAGAGAAGACAAACATTTCTTTTTAAATACAGGCAGTAAGGCATACCTTGGCAGCCTTTTACCATGCCTCTCCTAGCTCTAAGCCAACCGTATTTGCTTTTAAAACTTTTGGCAAAAAAGGCTAATTGAAATCTCTCCCTATTGGGTGAAAGGAAGTTCTGTCAACACTTTGTTTGGGACCAGCTCATAGATGATTCATACCCTAAAATGCAGCATCGGTGAGTAATGATTTTGATAGCGTGGTTGTTACTTGAACATGCCTTCTGCTGTGCTGAAGAAACACATTCTGTTCTGCTATCATTTATATACCACATTAGTTATTTAGGAATATTGATTGCACCACAAACAACATTAGTCCCTACATTGTTGAAGGGACCCATTTAGAATTTCAAAAATAGTCATCACATTTATGTCTAAATGTTTTATCTACCAACATTACAAATAACATTCAATATCTATGTCAAGTAACATATCAGAATTTTTTCTACTTTTTCTCCTGTTTATTTTATACTTTTGACAATACCACATGTCTGCTACCACCTTATTTATATATTCATGGTTTCTTCCATTTGTTTTTTATATCTCAATGCAATTATCTCAACACAGTGTTAGACAGAATTTTTTTTTTTTTTAATATAGGCAAGCACAAATCTAAAATGACAAATATGGGCAAGATAATTCATGGGCTGAGAATATTAGAAACAAATTAATTCATTCTTTAAAAACAAGACTTAATTTCAAGTTGATAATGTCCATTTGAGCTGAAAAGTAACCTACCATTATAGACCTGATTTTGACTTGGTTTTTTTGTCACCAAAACTAAAACAATTGCCATGACATTTCAGGCAGATTATCATACTTCAGAACAGAACATTTCTTGAACATCTGACATAAATCTGAAAAGTTTTTTTAAAGAATGAACTGATACAATTCTATTTCTTGCGAAATTTTCCCTCGTATCATTTAGGCTCATCTGACTCCAAAAATGGCTTGGTTTAAATTGCAAATATATTATAAGTCAGCTGTTTTGGGCAGGATTGATACCTCTGATTAAGGTTTCTCTTCCACTAGATGGCATGGAGGAAGGGGATGTCTGTTGACAGATTCAACTATTTTAAGTAGCTTCACGATAGCCTCAACATGGAGTTTATGAACTCCACATAGCCCAATCACAATGGAAACAGTTGCAGAAGAGTTACAACATGGGGCAAAACTCATGGAGCAGTGGATGAGAAACAGCTAAATAGGAAGGTGAGGACCAATTTGTGAAATAGATAGCTTTCCTAGAAACCAGGGAAAGGAAAATCATGGAGAAATATGTGGGAGGCAGTTTGTGAGGAGAGGGAGGGGAGGTCCAAGCCTACCCAGCTGGAATCCTGAAACTGACAAAAACATCTGTACATGCTTTTAAAATAAAAGGAAATTCCCAGGAAAAAAAACTTAATTATGCTGGAGTTAAATTTGTAAACATATAGATTAAGAAAAAGACTCTTAAGAGAACGTTTAGCATGCTTTGAAAACCCAGATACATTAAAATACCCTGCAATTCAAAGTTAAACAGTTAATGCAACAGCCAAACATTAGAAAGCACAGAAATGCAGTTCCAGGTCACCCAAGTAACCTTATCACACCACTGTGTCATTACCCAGAGAAGATCTGAAAACAAGTCTATCCTCAAACAGTGCACATCTTCATCACATCTGTAATTCTGAAAACTGAGATATGATCTAACTGGATCATCCTGATCTTGCTAAAAGACTGACTATTCACTACTATAGTATTTAAATGGAAGTGTTGCCTTATCTTTACACTGCTACAAACTATACCTGCCATTTTTAATACCATAGAAAATAACCAGAAAATAGCATCTCCTCACCAAAAGTAACCCCACTCAGGATAATTCCCGCATTACAGACAAAATTTCTAATCCAAAGTGGTGTTGTATTATTAAATTGCACATAGATACATAGCTATTATCTTTGGACCTATAAATTTCTTCAGGGATGGATCAGAAATCTGGTAGTCAGGAGTTCAATAAGACTTGCATATCAGGTAACTGTACAAAACCCAAACCAGAATTCAACACCATAGGCAAAGTATGCAAAAAAGCAGATTTAGGATATTCTTATTTGCGTAAGTGCAAACTTCTTCAAATCTTTATTCCAACCTTTCATTAAAGCATCTCAGTTCTTCTCAGAAACCGCCAATAGGTGTTCATGGAGGACATCAGATGCAAGCAGACTTAAATTTTTTGGGTGACCTCAACAACACATTTCAGTACACCTACTGTTTGGGGCTGATGCCATTTGAAGTACAAATATAACCTGGAATTTTTACTTTTCCCTAATCCTCGCTTTAGAGTTAGTTAGTTAGTTAGTTAGTTAGTTAGTTGTGTGCTTTAGAGCTAGCTGTGAGGGGAGAGTAGAAAGATAACCGAAACTTCCACAACCCCAGAGAGTAGGGAAATGAAAAGGAAGAACAGAAACAGAAACCAAGAAGAACCAAAATACACCTACGCTTGGACCCAGAGAAACATCTCACCCTCCATGTAAGATAATGCATCCCCAGCAGGGAAGATAAAATAATAGGGGAATTAAGACATATAGCAGCAGGTCATCCTAGATCTGAATCCTGGCAGGTAGTTTCCAGTAGCTGAGAGAACAACATGCAGCTGCCTCCCTCCCTCCCCTATCTCCTCTATGACTGAAGCATACTTTAGGTCTAGGTTCACTTCCAGGGAACTCTTCTCCCCTGAGGGTGGGATATGGCTGTGGGTCAGGAGGTATGTAGCAGTTTGGTAAGTGCCTGCATGTCTTTACCAGCTACATGAAAGTTTTTGACTGTTTTGGATTTTTTGGACTTCATTATCCCTAATATGCAGCTGCTGAGCTTCCTCCTCCAATCATAAGTCTGATTCTCCAAGGACAATACTAAGATGGAGTTCCCCAGGTCCCATTTGAGGCACCAGATTTCAAGGGCCTTCAAATTGCTCTAAATATGTTTTTACAAAAACTGCAAAAATCCATCTTCAGCTGAGTCTGACCCTTACCACTTTTTCTAAAACAAGGGAAGTCAAGGGCTCCCCCCACCAACAGGATAGTTGAATAAAAAAAAAAAATCTAGCTCATAACAAAGCTTTTGCCTTACCTTATGAATTCTGACAAGCAAAGTTTCTTTATTATGAATGCATTTTATACAGCACCAAAAAAGGCATGTGGTGCTTTTAGATAAGTCTGCAAACTCTAGAGCACACACAAAACTTTACTCATGCATATAATATACTGAGTCAATACACAATCAGAACATTAATTTGAAGTCAATTGGACTTCATATACGAGTAAAATTACACATGCACCAAAAGCATTTGGAAGATCGATGCCTCAGGCTGCTTACAGACATGAAAAAAAAACCCCAGGTACCAAGCACAGCACATGCCCAGAACAGGAATCACATCGGTTTAACATGGTTCGCCCAGCATCTGTATAGCTCATGCACTTCAGCGAGGCTTTTTGGCACTTTTTTTTTTTTTTTTTTAAGCGCCAAAAAGCTCTGAAGCGTGCGACCTATACAGACACTGGTCAAACCAGGTCAAACTGACACGATTCTTCTTCTGGTAAAGCGCTGAGTTGTTTTTGTTTTCCACATCTGTCAGGAGCCTCGGTCCCATTCTTACAAACATTTGTTCATATGTGTGGCTGCAGGACCAAGACCTAATAAGGCTTAAGATAAAGAGTAAGGGAATGACAAAATGATTTAGGTACCCTTTTTGAAGGGAGGAAGAGAATCTGCTTTCCTAGATCATCTTTTGGATAAATGTAGAGGCCATACCCAATCAGTATATTCAGGTTTTCCATTTTTCTTGTAACAAATAAAAATAATTTATTATTGCACAAGTGTGAAGATTCAGATGATGATTCTTTTCAACAACATACAGGATGACTGCTTACAGACATTAAAAACAAACAAAAAAAACAAAACAAAAAATGGTGCTTTACTTTAAACTTGGATTACTCCCTCGCCAAGCCCAGTACATGCCCAGAAGAGGCATTGTGTTAGCTGGACCCAGCTTGCCCAACATCTGTATACATCGGGCACTTCAATGGGACTTTTCTGGCACTTTTAACTAATAGCTGATTGAATCAACTATTAGATAAAGGCATCAAAAAGCCCCGCTGAAGCATCCAATCTATACAGATGCCGCAGAGCTGGATTGAACCAACACGCTGCTTCTTCCAGTAAAGCATGTTTTTGTTTTCGGGTTGTTGGGTTGTTTTTGTTTTTTTTTTTTAACATCTCTAAGCAGCCCATGTTACTAAGCTCAAAGTTTCAATGCTCATTTCTTTATGGCCCAATTTTTTCTTCAGATTTTCATAGACATTACTACTATCCATTTACTGAAATTTATGTTTATGCTTCTATGGCTGAGCCTAACCTGATTGTTTTTGTATCCACAAATTATTTAATCCAATCATAATCAGTTAGCAGCTAGATGGTAGCCATCTTGACTGACAAAATCATAACCTCCCCATTTAGCAAAATGCATTTTTATTAGTTGAATCCTGACTGCCTTGAAAATATTTGTAATGCAATTTCAAAAGTCAAATGGATCATGTAAATAATGCACTGCCTCTTTAGAAGTAGCAAATCAGACCTTTCCCTCTTAGCAGATTTGCTGGATAAGCTATGATTGTGAGACAATATGGTTCTTCAAGTGTGCAAGCAGGAAATAGGTATTACAATTTTAATTGTAATGATATTATTCCATTATTTATTACAAGATTGTGAGACTGGGACAGCAAAAGTTGTTTTTCTTTTCCATTGAAATGGAAAAAATATGTTGAAATTAACTAATTAACCCAGGGCTTGAATCTATCACAGACTAATTGAATATGCAGTGCACAAACAATGCAGAGAAAGTTGAAGTAGGAACAAATGGTCTCCAATACAACTACATGACAACATGAATCCCAAAACCATGAAAATTTTAAATAGAAACTTTGTGAAACCCCAACAGTTATCTGACTGGGGCCATATGAACCCAGCAAAGAAATGGACACGAGTAATGTGAGGGTATAAACTAGACCACACATTTGAAGTATGAACTTTCTATGTCCCAAAGCTCTGACCCCCTAAAGAACTAGCGAGCTAGAAGAAATATTGAAGAAGGTGGATGGGAAGTATTTTTACTTGTCTTTCTCAGCAGTTGCTTTTCTCCCTATACTATCAAAACCGTTTAATCTCCAGTTCTGTTTTTTTCAGTTTGTGTCATTTTATTTTCATTTTTCTTCTATCCACAGGACATAGAATTTTTTACATGTCCACAATAATTGCTTCAAGAAAGTTCAGTCTACATCTCGAAAGCATGTTGCTTAAGAACATGCGTTACGAATATGCCCACTAGTTCTTATTAGCTCAGAAGCATATTTGAATTACAGTCCTGATAGATCAAGTACAAAAATTTTAAACTGTATTAGAATAGCTATAATCTGGACTACATATTTTTGTGAGCTGTATTTTCACAAACAGCAAAGACTACATCATACGGTCACTATGAAAGAAAGTGGAGCTGAAAGAAAAAAAAGCATGATAAACATACATGAATCTCTCTTTGGTCAATAAAGGACTGTCCTGTCAATCTTTCCAAGATACTGAAGAAAGAGGATAGGCACCTATAATACCTTATAGCACATAAAAAGGAAGTTTGTGCCCATAGTCAGCTGAAAGAAGACTTGAGAACCTATAGACCTTTCACTCTTTTGGGTGCAAGAAGAATGTGTTAAAATTTCTCAACACAGTTAGACAAGGTTCCTAATTTAATTAATTAATTAGACAGTCACTAATTTCTTATTAATGAGGATGGCTTCTGACTGAACCTGCTCATCCTTTTAGAGAATCTAATATTTGCAAATATTTTTATGTAGCCACTCCAAAGCTTAACAACATTCTTGAAATGACAGTCTGTCAAGTATGCTCATAAGCCAATCTTTGCGGTTTGAAATTGCTGTCCATTCTTAAAAAGACAGCAACCAGGGAAATAAAGAGCTTTTATTTCTAAGAGATAGCACATTGCACAAAAAGGAGAATTTATGGATTTGTGGAAATAACTACAGATTATGTGGTATCTGAAGCAGGTCAAATCTAATCTTTGATATCAGTAATTTCAACAGAAAGCTGACATTGTGTGTTTAGAGCAAGACAGAACAAGGAAATTGAAAAGAAATATTTTTAAACAGAGAAACACAACAAGCTGCAGAAGAAATAGAAACTGATGCACGTAAGTATGCATGTGAATTCCTCTATCTTTTTGTCTAATAGAAGGAGATGAAAAAAGGTACTGGTAGTGTGAACTTCTTTTTCAGAATCTCTCTCAAGAAGAGGTTAAAGCACTTTAGATTATGGAATTTAGATTATGCCTGCCTTCCTCATATCTTTGTATCAGTACATTTTATAAACAAAGTAAAGGAATTTAGTAGCCCTAAGGAAAAAGTGTGAACAGTAACAGAATAGACTAGTCTTGAAGTATACTCTTAAAGATGGAATCTTTTATCCTGGGTTTAGTATTTTTACAGCTTAAGCATGGGAAAAAAATTAACTACAGGCATGTCACTGGAAAGAGCCATAAGAAGAGCTAAAAAAGCAATTAGGTCCTATTACCGATTTGGGGAAAGGAAGATTAAGGAAGGAAGATTAAGGAAGCCTATGTCCAATTCTTAAACAGGTAGTGGTGATGGTAAATGTACTCAACACTTCCATAGTTTGCAAAGAGTGGCTGATGTCATCACAGTCCACCCAGTACTGAAGATAAATGTGCAAAAAAGATTGCAGATCTTGGAGAATGCCTAATGTTAATGGACACAAAATCTAGGCCCTCTGCCCTTGATGAATGAAATCAATGAAGACACATTTCAAAAGATCACATGTAATAGAGAATGTGCCAGGTAAGAACCTAAACTCTTTGAGCAACAGACTGCATATCAATGTATTACTTGGACTCATAAGGTCTCTTTTCCTTTAAACAGCGTTCAGTGCTTTCCTCAAAACCCAAAGTACCAGGATTTCTCTTTCACTCTGGCCTAGCTAAGGATTTGGACAGGTAGATGTTTCCTCTCCAGGTAAGAGGAAGAAATCTTTACCTACATTTGTTGCAGCTGCTACACCATTCTTATTAGCTGCACTGCAATGAGATATTTGAATTGACTTCATTCTCCAAAATGAAGAAGAACAGTGTCAATTTTAAATCAGAATAAAACCTCTAAACTGAGGTTTAACAAAGGCCTAAAAGAAATCAAATCCAATCAGGCTAACTCCTGCTAACTCCTTGAAGCCAGAAGCCCAAGTCAGGAGCCATTGTCATCAAGGAGTAAATGAGTTTATTTCCTTCCTCATTCTTAATTTCAAAATAATTCAATGATCTGTATTTAATACTCACTGTGCAGCTATTACGAAGGGCTTCAAATTTACGCTGGATTTCATCTCTATGTGCCTAAAGGAGGTAAGAAGTTAATCATCAATTTTTCATACATTAGAATTAGAATCCAACAGCTGTTGCTAAATAAACTGCAGAACAATCTACCAACAAGCAAAGTTTGGAAGGCAGATGTTGCAGGCTATGAAAGCACTCTGTAGTGGCAAAGAACTGATTAGCAGAAGTCACATCCTACTTAATCAGAACACACTCATTCATGCTTCCAAATCTGAGCTACTGTAGCAAAATGCACAAACTCATAAACTGGATCACACAAAATATTCCATTTTAAAGAGTCTCCAGAAGGTAAATAGCAATTTAATGTTAAGTTTTTATCTTCTTGAATCTTAAAATATTTTGAATTGATTTTATTTCCATATGTGGATTAAATGCATGTAAAAACTATTTTTAATACTAGCATACACCTTTTAATGCTTGCAAAGAAAAGCTACAATGAAGCATTATGCAAATTACCCCAAACAGCTCTGCCAATCTACCTCAACCCTACCCTGATTTAGCCCCTGGCTCAAAACAGTAATGAAATTAAATAATGATGATTTCTTTGGAAGACGAAGTCCAAAATATTGAAAGGTGCAAAACACTTGTTTTAAAAAAATGTAATAATGCATGCATCATTTTACTTCCTAAATTACAAGCAAAGCATGACAAAGCAAAGTTCATGTTTCAGCCTCATGGCCTCTCTCAAAAGTCATTTATACCATCAAACTGATTTAACTTGTGACTAATGTCATATGCAAACCCAGACCTTAACAGAGGAAAGGCTAGTAGTACACTAGTACATCCAGTCACCTTTTTTTATTCAAGATATTTTCCTTACAGCCAAGAGACTCAACAGGAAACACTGTTTAGCAGAAATCAAATGTGAAAATTAAAAAGTTGTTTTACCACAACAGGCAATGCAAAAAAAACCCAAAACAAGAACACCTGAAACCCACTGAACTGGATTAACAGAACAAAGATGCCAGATCTTAATTCTCAAGCAGCTGGTACAGAAGAACTACCATTTCATCAGAGTAATTGCAGTAATAGCTGAGTGAATACAGATTACACACATTCATCTGTTTCATTGATTTGGTAGGTAGAAATATCAAGCATGTCATCTTGGTTGGCATCACTGCTAACAACACTGTCAAGTTTTGGATTTCAGTAAGACCACCTCAAGTTTGAGCAAAAACAACTGCTTTGTACTTGAGATGGACTGATGTCATTTTCTGTTGCATTATTGTAAAACACTACAATCGCTGCTACATTTTCCTAACAGATCACATCCAGCCTATGCTCACATTAGAGAAAGTGAGCACAAAAGAACCTCCCCCTGCCCAGGATACGCAACAGAATCAATGAACAAATTCACCAGTCTTTAGCCAAACCCCACTCCCACTAAGCAGTGGCAATGGAAGAAATAAGACCTCCAATAATATTTCCTTTTAGTCAGTTGCCCCAATGGCATCTGATATTTCCTATACTGAAAATAACTGAATAAGACTGATACTTCAAAGGAGTGATAGTGTGCTGTTAAAGTAGGAAGTTAAATACTTTTTTAGTCTCCACAACATTAGCTAATCTTCATACAGGAAACCTTATCTAAAACACATGTTTTGAAACGTAATTTTGAAGTCAGAAAACAGCAACCAGCAGCATATCATTTGGTATTCAACTCACAGGGTACATGAAAGGATGCTAATTTTTTTTTATCTTTGTTTTTTTAATTCTGTATCATTCCCACCCTTCACAAAAGATTGAAGATATGCAAGTGAAAATTCTTAATGGAATTAGAATTAAATTAGAGGGAACAATCTTTTGTTGATTTTTTTAAGAACTAGCACAGAGTAGGAGCTAACAGTATTAGAAAGAAAATACCAACACATTTCTGATCAGGTTCCTGAAACAGCAGTACTTTCAAAGATCATGCAAGAATTTAAAGAGATACAGCAGAAAGTCATACTCTTACACTAGGAATAATTTTGTGTGGGGCTTTCAGCTTAGAGTCAAGTGACAATGTTCTCACAAACAGCAAAATCACCACCAACATATGTCACATACATATGTTTAAAGTAAATGAGAAACAAAAGAAAGCTGATGTTTTAGCCATCCATGAATCTACCAATCCAAGGCAATATCATACTTTGTACAGCAAATGATCAAAAAAAATTAACATAATACAGCCTCAAAGCCTGTTATGAAGTGCACATCTACATTCTTCCCGATTTGCAATTCATAGTGCCAATCCAGAATTTTAGGGCTCACCGTGAGAGCTTGAATCTCCTCTTCTGCTTCAGCTGTAGTCTCCTCTAGTTCAGTTTTAGCTTCACGGAGTTGATTCTCTAGGGCTGTCCGTGCAGCCTGCAGCCCTGAAATTTGAGATTCTCTCTCCTGGAGGGTCAGCTGCAGCTCAGTTAACTGTCGTTTCAATTCCAACTTTTGTTCTTCATGCTCTAAACTCACCTGAAGACGGAAACAACAATACCCAAGTATGAGTTAGGAATAAGGAAACTGGAATCTCAAGCCCTATGTTTGTTTGTTTCCAAGAATCATCAAAAAATAGGGCTGAAAGAGACCTCAGGAGGTCATCTAATGCAACCCCCTGGCTCAGTGCAATATCATCCCTATCTAAACCACCCAGGTGTTTGTCTAAGCTGTTCTTAAAACTACACGACAACCCTTTTGAAAAACTACAAGACATATTGCCCCAAAACCAACCTAACCTACCACAGGTAAGGCAACAGGATGAGGGCAATGTCAATGTCCCACTGTTCCTAAAATACACTAAAAAAAAAAAAGAAAAAAATCAAAGGAAGAGGACCACACCCCCGCTATTGAAGAAGACAAAAACCTCCAACAGCCATGCTGATCTGACTACAGGGTAAAATTCCTTCCTGATCCCAAATGTAGCAAGCATTCTGCCCCTGAATAGAGGGGGGAGACCCTCCAACAAGGAAGCTTTGGGTTTTTGTTCCAGAAGAATTGGTACACCCTAGTGACACTGGAGGTCTGGCTTACAACTACAGTCTTCATGGTAACACTCCATCCTTATGTCAAATTTAGATCTTTAGATGGCTTTGTAAAACTAAATTTAAATCAGACGTGAGGTTAAGTATCCTCAGGATGCAGCTTTATCCATCACTTGTAAATACCTCATCACAACAAATATTTGCCATTCTAAAATGATCCAAGGACACCGATGTAATGCCAGCTATGTTGTAAATACATATTAAATTCTGGTATCAATAACTGTGAGAGCATAAGAGTTAAAGTACAGTATGCGTGAACAATGTTGCTAACTATAATTTAATATATTGCATTAAGGCTCTTTAGAAAAAATATCAATGCTAGTCTCAGTATATCTATATATTGTGCAATTATTTTCACATTATTTTCCTTCAGATTCTTGTTGCAGGCAGATCCATCTCCTAAACAGATGAAACATTTACCTCCAAAGAGTGGCAAAAATACATTTAAGAAAAAAAATTTAAGCTACTTCCCTAGTGGTGGTTCACTTGAATGATCTCCTCCAAAGATTTCTTTGGGGCAAAAAAATCACTAGGTCTATTGTTCAAACTGTCATTTCCAAGAATATATGAGGGGCACACAAATGATGTTACCTCTCTCTAAGCAAAAACACTTTCTCTAAGCTATCTGCCTCCTTATTTCATGGCAAATGAATCTACCATGACATCACAGATGTGAAAGTGCTGATCTCGCAATGATCTCTAGAAACTTCTGGCCACATAAAGGATTTATGCTGGCCATCCAAACCCCTTAAGTAAAAGAAAGATCTTTGCTTTTTATTGAAAATGAGCAGAAGAAGAGTAAAGGAAATAAAAAGAGATTACCGATGGGTGCAATGATCTCATATATTATTCAATATGCAACTTAAAGGGTATTTAAAATATAGGAGTGTAGGATATTTAAATGTAGGACAATGTATAGTTTTCCAAATACTTCTTTTTTTAATTTTTGTCAGTTTACAAATTAAAAAGTAACAAGTGTCTTATTGCTTTTGGAAAGAGAAGTTTTTGTCATGTCTGCTTGATTATCCTTTTTATTCTAGAATAAAACATAAGCCCAGTACCTTCAAGTCTGCCACTGAAGTAAAAGGAGTCTGTCATTCTGCTTAGTTAAACATATATAGTGTGCCCCATAACCAGAATATCTGGGCACTATTAGATGATGTACAAAGGAGCTCAGACTTCACTATTGAGGAAGAGCCCAAAATACTTATACTCAAATTTTTATTTATACTCAATTCGTTCCAGCAAGTAATACATTTTTAAAATTAAAGAAAATGTTAAATCAAGATCAAGACATTGTCCAGCTACTTAATCCTATTCTAACTGTAATGCTTTCAGTGGAATACATGCAAGTACATTTGTCTGAAAAGGACTGAACCCAAATTTTTACCTCTCTCAATCTAGTCTCTAACTCCAACAGACGGTTCTTGTCAGTATGTTCCTGATGATTGATCTTTTCCAACTGTTCTTCCAGTTTTCGATTCTGGGCCTCTAACTTCCCAGCCTGTGTTTCCAGGTAGAATTTCTGCTGTCTGAGCTCTGAAATCATCTCCTCCTGGGCTTTCCTAATAAGAAAAAAAAAAGATATATTCAAATATAGGTAGGAGTATGTTATTTCATTGGCGTTAAACAGAAAACAACATAAGACAAGCTTCCGGGTAAGCAGAACACAAACACATCTAAACTAGTTCTTCTTGGCCTAAATGTTATGCCACCATTATGGAAAAATTAAGCTTAATGTCTGTTTCTTCACCATATACTGAAGTAAATGAAATTTCATGGTTCTGAAGGTTGTGCATCTGTGAAAATGAACATCAAATCTTGGTAAACACAAGAATGCCTGGTTTAGAGCTCAAAGTTCTTAGCTATTTTATTTCATGTGGGGTTTTTCCCCACTTAGAAGAAAATGAACACAGAGCCATAGCATCATACACTGTACATCTGCTTTAAAGAATAGAGCAACCACAATTAACTTTATCTTACACAAATTAGATTTGGATCTTGGTCTGCTTAGCAAGGTTCCAATATGACCCTTGAGCAATTTCATAGTTTCACAGTAGCTAGGGTCAGGAGGGACCTGAACAGATCATCTAGCCTGCCCCCCTGCCA